ATATAAATAAAAATAAATATATATATATAAATATATATATATATATATATATAAATATATATATAAATAAATATATATATATATAAATATATATATATATATATATATATATATATATATATATATATATATATATATATATATATTAACACCTGTACACCTACGTAACATATTAGAGCTTAATTTCTAAATTTACTAATGTAACTTCAGCCCGGACCCACCGTTGAGTTATTCACTATTAAAACAACTTTCTTGTTAGGTTATTTCAAGCTTCAGTGCTCGAGGTCTAATAAGTTATATGGATATGTGAGAGTTTACTGAAATATAGTGAGCCTACTCCATGCTTATGAGTTCCTAGTAAGAAGCACGAATGATTTTTTTAAATCTCATTTTGCTTAAACCAGGTCTTTTAAATACAGTAGCTAAGTGGTAGCTTTCCCGTCTCCCACACCGTAAGCCCGGGTTCATGCCTCACCGGTGCTGATAACATTGGCAGTATATTAAAGAGTTGGCATAGCTTCATCTTGAATATCGCTTCAAAAGCAACATATTATAATTCTTTATTATTTAAGAGTAAGTGCTCCTCTCTTGGTGCCTTCTACATGTGAATATTCGCATTAGTTTTACCGGTGTTTAATTCATGTGATGTAGATGCTTGATATCAACCAATCAGCCAAAAATTTTACCTTATTATATTCTGATGGAAACAGCAGATGTCATATTTGTCACGATATATAAAAACGTAACTATGTTTAGATGTTCTGTATTTTCTGTTGTGATATCCAGTCTGTACATGTGTGCAAGCAAGTCTTACGGAGATGAATATATCTGCTAATAAAGTGAATATAAATAAGAGTGTTTATGTGAAGAACCTTTACCATTTCCATCCAGGTTCAAAATGTTTCCTTCAAACCCTAGTATGTATAGGTGAGAGACCATCTACGACATATTATTTCTCACATCTCAGTTTCCAGGAACCAATCTACATGACATTTTGTATCCCATTGTACGTTTTATTCCTGACACAAATAAAGTAACACTTTACTGTGCTTCTACTAAGATGATATATCATGATGTCGTACTTCCCTGCGCTCCCCTGAACAGCATAATAATGTAGGAAGTTATCCCAGAACTTTTTGTCTGCCGGCTCCTAGTATACCTTGATGTTTCAAAGGCTTGATGCGGCATTAGAGTTAGAACCATTCACTAAGTCAACTATAGTTTAGTCGACTGGGATTCACAAGAGGAAACCTTCGAAAAAGAAAACAAAAATATTAACAAAATTCCTGATTTTTGGCAACATAAAGAAAATAATGCTTGAAGAGCATTACATAATGCATCTGCATTACATGTTAAGACTGGCTTGAATTTTGCAGTAACCTCTGAAAAACAGCCAGCATGAAATTATATTTCTTAAATAAAGATAACACGGAAATCAATTATAAACTTTTCATTGTCAGAAAACAAACACCCTAGTACCTTGCATTCGTGTTTAAAGTATAGTGTCAATAAGAGGTCTACAAATAAATTTAAGATAAAAGACTTAGATATTGAAATTTTGCATGATTTAACGACGGCGATTACCTCTACAGAGTCAGCCAAGAAAAGAAGCTTATGGGGGCTCCTCCATGTACAGAACGAAGATATAATGAAGTCTTTGAAAGATTACGATTGTTCCTACTTGAAAAAGTTCTGCAGGTGAAGTGTTCTGCAGGTCTATAAATCTCTGAGAAAGGAAGTACTTCTTATGTGTTTTGCATAAAGACTTGGCCAAGTGAATAGTGTCATGTTGGCTGTGTAATATTTAACATTGATGAAACAGTCAATAGTCCAGGAGCTATGACCACTTAACTTAAGATTTTTGGGTGCTTTTGGGGAAGAAATTTTTGTAGAATCCAAACATGTCTGTCACAGTTGCCGCAGATGGCAGTTTTGGTGAAAAATTTCCGTTTATATGACAAATGCGTTTTTCCTTATTTTGTGGTAGAGGAAACTTTATAGATAATTAATTTGTATTTTATAGACTACTTTTGTCTAGTCTCTAGTGAGTTGTTTTAGGGATGTAAAGTTGGCTCCTCTCCTGTGTTTACCACTTAGCGTTGTCAATCCTCTCTCTCTCCTTGAGGTGTGAACCCCGAACTACGAAGTGTGAAACTGAATCATTCACTAGGGAGCGGGAGGGAGAGTGGAGGAGTGTATCGGGGAGGTGTCTTTTTTGAGGTGGTGAGGAAGGAAAGTGTATATTAGTTTGAGAGAGATTACAATGCAGAATAACGCTTTGACAAAGGGGTTTCTTCAACTGAGTGTAATCGTCTAGCGCTAGCCAGATAAAAATACTACAGTAACAGTTACAATAGGAGGAGAGGGGGCATTTATGAAGAAATGAATTATGGACATGTTGGAATCTACATCGCATAGAAGCAACAAAGTTTTGTTTAACTCCTTCACTACGAGATGGCACTTCCCCAGTTGAATAAAATCGTCTGGCGGTAGCCAGGTTAAAATAGATAAGAAGAAATCTTAGTAAAGGGATTAGTTAGCAATCAAAGCGATCAGGAAGTGGGCACCACAAATTTATTGCAATACAAAGTTGATGTGAACAAAAATTGTTTAGTTGGCAGCTGTCCAGTATAGAATCAGCAAACCACATAGTTCAGTTGTGCCAATAATAATAATTCATAATAATAATAATAATAATAATAATAATAATAATAATAATAATAATAATAATAATAATAATAATAATAATAATAATAATAATAATAATAAAAATAATAATAATAATAATAATAATAATAATAATAATAATAATAATAATAATAATAATAATAACAATAATAATAATAATAATAATTAATAATAATAATAATAATAATAATAAATAATAATAAATAATAATAATAATAATAATAATAATAATAATAATAATAATAATAATAATAATAATAATAATAATAATAATAATAATAATAAAATAATAATAATAATAATAATAATAATAATAATAATAATAATAATTAATAATAATAATAATAATAAATAATAATAATAATAATAATAATAATAATAATAATAATAATAATAATAATAATAATAATAATAATAATAATAATAATAATAATAATAATAATAATAATAATAATATTAATAATAATTAATAATAATAATAATAATAATAATAAATAATAATAATAATAATAATAATGAATAATAATAATAATAATAAATAATAATAATAATAATAATAATAATAATAATAATAATAATAATAATAATAATAATAATAATAATAATAATAATAATAATAATAATAATAATAATAATAATAATAATAAATAATAATAATAATAAATAATAATAATAATAATAATAATAATAATAATAATAATAATAATAATAATAATAATAATAATAATAATAATAATAATAATAATAATGATGATGATGATGATGATAATAATAATAATAATAATAATAATAATAATAATAATAATAATAATAATAATAATAATAATGATGATGATGATGATGATAATAATAATAATAATAATAATAATAATAATAATAATAATAATAATAATAATAATAATAATAATTAATAATAATAATAATAATAATAATAAAAAATAATAAAATAATAACATAATAATATAATATAATAATAATAATATAATAATAATAATAATGTCCTTTTTACCCTTTAACTCACTGTTTGGTACAGCTACAGCTGAACTATGTGGTTTGCTGATTCTAAACCGGACATCTGCCAGCTGACCTTTTTTCACATCAAGTTTGTATTTCATTAAATATGTGATGCCCACTTCCAGATTGTTTTGATTTTAATTAATCACTTCCGTCCCTTGTCTTCTTATCTGTTTTATTCTGGCTACCGCCAGACGATTTTATTCGGCTTTATTCGGCAGGGAAAATTCCATATAGAAGTCAAAGGGTTAAACTAAACTTCGCTGTTTCTATAAGCCGTAGATTCAAACATATCCATAATCCATTTACTCATAAATGCCTCCTTTTGCAAAGGAACATCTTACTTAAAACATGAATTCATCCCCCTCTCATCCTATTGGAACTATTATTTTCATCTGGTTAGCGCTAGACGATTACACTCAGCTGTGGAAACTCCGTCACTCTTGTTTAAGCATTTTCCTGCATAGCAATCTCCCCCAACTGATATACTCTTTCTATCCTCACTCCCAGTTCTCCGTCTCTCCCCCGCAGAAAGACATCTACCCCGACCGACACACACCTTTGCTCTCCCTCCCGTTTACTAGTTAATGCTTCGAGTTCAGACTTCAGAGTTCTGGGTTCACACCTCGGGGAGAGAGAGGATTGACAACGCTAAGTGGTCAATGCATGAATTGAGCCAACTGCACATATCATCAGAAAGATATGTCTGTCCTATAGATAAACATGACTGGTTTCCATAGTAACTGCATTTGTATATACGAGTATTTAGGACATCTGACAAAATCTCACATAGCACATGATATTTTTATCATAAAAATATGAAACATAACTCAAATGTGATGACTTTTTTACTTCCTTTCTTGTCATTTTATTAGCAGATCATATACATTGTATTCCACAATTTGCATTCATCTGGATCACAGACTTCCACCTCTATGCCATCAATGTCATCCTCGTTGGCTGCTGACTGAGTTGCGAATGCACTCTGAGAAATGTCTTCTAGTATTTGGGCTTCTTCAAACTAAACAAATTTATATTTGCTATCGGTCATATCGAACTTCTATTAGTTGGATCAGCAATTACAGATAATCAGCTCGAGGATACTGTAGATGATCATTTTTCCAAATCATGGTATCATATTTTGTCTGTTTCGCCTTTTGAAGAAAACTTTAATTTAATGGTCGTAATGTGATTAAATCTGCACCTTTTAACATTACTGGCGGGTCAGACTACTTTGAGAGAGAATCATTATATCTTGTACACCCCTTTATCTACTTTGGGTCTAGGAAAAGACAGTGAAGGTGTTCTGGATTTATTTAATTATCATCTGATCATCATATTTCAGAACATCAAGAACCCATAACATAATGAATATGGTCATGAATACGGCATTGTTCTTGACATGGAACAATCTCCTGAAGGACTTAGTTGGCTTCCTAAATAAATCCGAGCCCTTCAGATAAACTGGCCATAAGTAACCTTCAGCATAACGGAGACTGGCGTGTCTTGTCTTCGCAAGTTTCTCCTGCAGGCGACACTGTTGTACCGCTCACGTGTTTACAGTTTAGACTGTAACGGAAAATATGGGAATTATGAGTGTCTCCTCGGCACCATATATCCTAAAAGTACCTCCCTGACACCATATATCCTAACAGTACCTCCTTGGTACCACATATCCTAACAGTACCTCCCTGGCACCATATATCCTAACAGTACCTCCCTGGCACATATAACCTAACAGTACCTCCCTGGTACCACATATCCTAACAGTACCTCCCTGGCACCATATATCCTAACAGTATCTCCCTGGTACAATATATCCTAACAGTATAACCGTGTCATCATATATCCTAACGTCAAAATCTTAACAGAGAGGAAGTTAAGAATTTCCTTTTTATCTCGGCAGTAAACAACTAGAAATTGGGTGTGTGACTAGATCGTCACAAGAAGTAGTGTTAATAGATAAAGATATTCTTCCTATATTATGATACTTATAGCTGCTTTCCACAGTAGGAAATATCTTTTCCGATGTGAAGATAATTGAGAGGGCCACGTTGGAGAACCTGAAATTAAAGGAAGAGCTGGCGAGGTTAAAAGGGGAGGCTGGACAGGGAAAGCCAGTGTCTAACGAAAACTCAAGCGAGTGGAAAGTTGTGAGGAGTGGGAGGACCAAGCTGGTGGTGAAGAAGTACACCAAGGATACGACAACAATGACAACAACATCTAAGTGTACCAACTCGTTCAGTCCCTTGATAGACGAATTGGACGATAGTACAGTCAGGGAAAGGGATGACAAGGAAGGTATAAAAACTTTAATTGTTGGTGACTCACAGGTAAGGTACTTGGACAGGGCCTTTTGTGGTAAAAACAAAAACAGGATGAGGGTGTGTTTGCCAGGAGCTGGGGTGGTGGATATAATTGACAGGATGGACAATATCTTGTCTGGTAATGGGAACAAACCCATTATCTACCTCAGTGCAGGAGGCAATGATATTGGCAGGTGTAGGAGCGAGGAGCTGCTTGATAAGTTTAAGGCAGCTATGGATCGTATTAGGTCTAAGGGAGGGATCCCTATCATATGCAGTGTCCTGCCTAGAAGGAGAGTTGGCCGTGAATGGTTGTCAAGGGCGGTTGGTGTCAACGACCGTCTTGACAGATATTGCAAGTCAATATCGGTCCCATTCATTGACAACTGGGACAACTTCTACGGCAGAAGGGACCTTTATGCTAGGGATGGGGTGTGCCTGTCACGAGATAGGGTGGTAACCCTGGCTGGGTCTCTAGAGAGGGCAGTTCAAAGGATATCGAAGTCTTTAAACTGCTAGGGGAACATATGGGCACGGGGTGGGGGAGACTGCAGTGGGAGCGGGTAAACAAAGTAAAAGATTACAGGGAAATAGTGTTAGGAATGATGACAAAACTAAATTAAACAGGGAGTTTAAAACTAAACGCGGTAAAGGGAGGACTCAGAACACGACTAACTTAAATGTCTACTATGCGAACAGTAGAAGTATGAGAAACAAAATGGATGATATTAGGGCCTTGGTATGTAGCGAAAAAATCGATATAATAGCATTCACTGAAACATGGATCAACCTAGACTCACGTGAGTTGCCGGTCGAATACCAAATTGCGGGATACAAATTGTTCCATACCGATAGGCAGACCAGGAAAGGAGGCGGAGTAGCAATCTATATTAGGGATAATCTGAAGTGTGAAATAAATAAGGAAATAAAAACTGAGCGGAATACAGAAACAATTTGGATAGAATTAAGCGACGGTAGGGAAAATTTAATCACAGGAGTAATATATAGACCTCCCAATCTTGATAGAGTCAATGAGCGACTTATCTGGGATGAAATGCGCAGGGCTTCCATTCACAACAAAGTCTGTATAGTCGGCCACTTTAACCTTGGCCAAATAGATTGGACTGACCTTACCGGTAACTCAGAATCAGAGGATTTTCTCGAGACGATCCAGGACTGTTTCCTAAGTCAACATATAACCGAACCCACACGGGGTAATAATATACTAGATTTAGTTCTGTCGAACAGAGAAAACCTCATTAGCAATGTCGAGGTAGGGAACGAACTTGCAAACAGCGATCACAAAGAAATTAGATTCCAGTTAGATTTTCAGGGCAGACGTAAGGAAAATTCCTCTAAAGTACTAGATTTCAGAAGGGCAAATTTTGACAGTTTAAAGAGGCAGCTGAGAGAGGGAGTGTCGCGCTTGGCCGTGAACCTGACAGATGACTCCGACCTGATAACGAGATCTGTGGTTGCCGAGTTCCACGACAATTTAAATAATGAGTTACTTAATGCACAAAGGCAGAACATACCATACAAAAAACTCAGATCAGACAACAATGACCCTAAATGGATAAATAATTATTTAAAGAACATCATTGGCCAAAGGAAGGCTATAGGTAGAAGGATAAATCGTGGCGAAATTTACCTCCAGGATTATTATAAGATATTGGCGAGTAGGGTTAAAACCGAGATAAGGAAAGCCAAGAGGAATAATGAGGTAAGGATAGCAAGGGAGGCGAAGACAAACCCCAAAGGATTCTACCAAATGTATCACACTAAAACACGAGAAAAGATTGGACCAATACGGTCAGATATCGGCGAGCTAACTGATAACGACGGAGAAATGAGCAATAATCTGAATAAATATTTTTCAACAGTTTTCACCACCGAAAATTTAATCATGATACCCAAGGCACCGACTCTATTCAGAGATAGTGAAGAAAACAAATTAAGCGAGATAGTAGTGACTAGTAACGATGTTAGTAAGCAAATAGACAAACTAAAGCCTAATAGGTCACCTGGTCCCGATGAGATATTTGCCAGAGTATTAGAGGAATGTAAGGAAGAGCTTAGTATGCCGTTAGCAAAGTTGCTTAACATGTCCTTAAAAACAGGTGTAGTACCAGAATCCTGGAGGATAGCGAATGTAATACCGATTTTCAAGAAGGGGGATAGATCACTATCCTCTAACTACCGCCCAATCAGTCTAACATCAATAGTAGGCAAATTACTGGAAGCAATCATTTCAAACTCTATTCGAAATCACCTGGAGAAGCACAGATTGATCAATGATTCCCAGCATGGCTTCACAAGAGGACGTTCTTGTCTAACTAATCTATTAACATTCTTTTCATCAGTTTTCGAATCGGTGGACGAGGGGCACAATTATGATGTGGTATATCTCGACTTTAGCAAAGCCTTCGACAGAGTCCCCCACGAAAGACTTATTAGAAAGGTAGAAGCACATGGCATCAAAGGTAACATCCTTAAATGGATTAGGGCGTGGTTGCAGGACAGGAAACAGCGAGTGAGCATTAATGGCACTAAGTCCCATTGGAGCAACGTCACAAGTGGAGTTCCCCAAGGCTCAGTACTTGGACCATTATTATTTATTATATACATAAACGACATAGATATCGGCATAGACAACAACATAAGTAAATTTGCTGATGACACTAAAATAGGACGTGTTATTAAATCTGACGAGGACTCCGCAAAACTACAGGAAGATCTAAACAAATTTTTCGAATGGTCTGAAAAATGGCAGATGAAATTCAACGTGGACAAATGTAAAGTACTCAGTATAGGAGATGTAAACAGGGAAACCAGATACCACATGAACAACGATGCCATAGAGAAATCCGACTGCGAGAGAGATTTAGGAGTAATGATAAGCAGGTACCTTAAGCCAAGTAAACAATGTGTTTTTGTTCATAACAAGGCTAATAAAGTACTTGGGTTCATACAAAGGAGTGTTAGTTACAAGACTAGCGAGGTCATCCTAAAACTGTATCTTGCGCTTGTGAGACCACACCTGGATTAAGCAGTTCAGTTCTGGTCACCGTATTACAGAATGGATATAGAATCATTGGAAAGAATTCAGAGGAGAATGACAAGACTAATCCTGGGCATTAGGAGCCTTGAGTATAGAAACAGGTTAAAGCATCTTAATTTGCACTCCCTCGAGAGACGTAGAGCGAGGGGCGACCTGATAGAGGTGTATAAGTGGAAGTCAGGGCTAAACAAAGGGGACATTATAAAGGTACTCAAACTATCCAACCAGGAGCGAACTCGTAACAATGGTTTTAAATTAGACAAATTTAGATTTAGGCGTGAAATCGGTAAACACTGGTTTGGAAACAGAGTAGTGGATGAATGGAACAAGTTACCAATTATCATCATTAACTCGAATATGCTGAATAGCTTCAAACATAGGTTGGATGCTTATATGAGCAATAGGGGTTGGGTGTAAACGGGACTGCCCAGTATGGGCCAATAGGCCCGCTGCAGTTTCCTCCATTCTTATGTTCTTATGTTCTTATGTACTGTGCCAGATATTTTACTCGGTCAGGAATGTATCGTTTCTCAGACTTATCCCTCGTCCTGGCTCCTACATGTGGTTGTGGGATACCAGAACTAAGTCAGCAGTCAGCCACTTTTCTTAAAAGCGAGACATGCTCCACCAACTCAACTTAGTCTTATCATGACCTGCTGACACTGAAATTTCAGTTAATTTGACAGTTCCGTTAAATGAATATTTTCGTAATCATCTCACTGTATTGATCGTACACTATCTAGAAGAAAAAAATAAAATCTTAAATTTCAACTTTAAGCCATGATCCTTACCTTAGCATGGATGGCAAGGACACCGTCCTCCTCCATGGTGGTGATCTCAATGTAAGCGGTGCCGTCACCGTTCACCGTCACGGTCTTGCCCGTACATGACCCGCCCTCTTTGGAGCCCGAGATGACGTCACAGTATGTACCGGCAGACAAACATGTCTAAGGAAAGAAAGAGAAATCGTCAGAAGCGAGTTTCCTTTCTTCAGCATCTTGTGTTGACCAAGTCCATGCACAACTTGCCCGTAACGATACAAATTCACTCAATACCAATATTATTATTCGTCAGGAAGAAGAAGCTCTGTATTGTAAATATTACACCAGTGACAAACATGAGTGTTAGTGACTACCTCACCTGTAGAGTTTCTTTAAGGTCGTAGCCGTCGTTGTTGATGGTTATAAAGCCTCTGTCACCTCTGCAGAAAGCGATCTGATTGTTGCCGTTGTCCCACCAGTCATTCATGTCAGTGCCTGGGGGAGAGAAAGTACCATTGGAACAGTGGCTGGCAGAAAGAAAGTAATATGAGGGCAGTGGCTTGGGGAGAGAAAGTACTATTGGGACAGCGGGTGACGGAAAGAAAGGATTATCAGGACAGTCGCGGTGGGACAATGGCTTGGGAGAGAAAGTACTATTAAGATAATAACTGGGGGAGAGAAGTATTATTAGTAGAGTACCTGGGGAAAGGGAAGTACCATTAAGACAGTGACTGGGGGAGAGACAGAACTATTAGGACAGTGGGTGTGGGAGCTGAAGTACTGCTAGGACAGTGACTGGTTGAAAGGAAGAACTGTTCGGACAGTGTCTGGGAGAGAGGCAGTTCTATTAGGACAGTGGCTGAAGGAAAGAAGTACTGGTACGACAGTGGTTGAGCGAAAGGAAGTACTATTAGGACAGTGGTTTGGGGAGAGGAAGTACTGTTAGGACACTGTCCGAGAGAAAGGGAGTACTGTTAGGACAGTGGCTGGGGAGAGGAAATACTGTTAGGACAGTGTCCGGGAGAGAGAAAGGACTAATTGGGAAGTGGATGGGCAAGAGGAAGTACTGTTAGGACAGTGTCTGGGAGATAGGAAGTACTATTATGAAAGTGGGTGGGTGTAATGATTGTTTATCAGTCCATACCTTACAGCCCAAAGAAGAACAGCACATATAGAAGTGTCCGGAAGCGCAGGTGTACACCCACGTTAGCTGACCCACCCTACAGTAACCAGTGAGATTAAGGCCTGACCCAATAGAGGTCACGGTCACAATGAACCTGATTTCTCACCGCCACGTGATTAGTCAAACCAGCGTCATGCCCATGTTAACTCATGAAACTACACTCCAGCCCGCACCTGTTCAAACACAGCTGTCTCGACACACCCAGATTAGTGTTAATTAGTGACGACATCTGCCGGTCTGACATCGCCAATATAAGGGCCGACAGCTCCTTCCCAGATGGAGAGAAACATCACGCTTGGAGCACATCATGCCCAGAGAGGAGAGAGCAGATGAAAGTTGCAATGGAAAAAATACATCCACAGAACACAACAGAAGCACCTCAGAGCACATTCGTGTGGGGTCAACAGCGGCAGAAAACAGTTAACTGAACACCCACCCCGCCCCAACTGCCAGAGGATTCCTTCCCAGCACTTCCCCCACCAGGCTACAGGACAAAATTGAAGACACCGGGACAAAATCAGTCCATGCAGGAAACCATGACAAATCAGTGGACTCCACAACCACAGCTCCAGAGCTGTATAGCAGTAAAAGCACAAAACACTCCAGTATTGGTGGAAAACACCATATTGCCTGGGACACTTCAACCTCCTCAGGCGACTACCCAACTGAATACACCCCAGCCTGCTAATCTACAAGCGGCATTCACAGAAGAACAAATAAAACAGATGATCACCATTATGATAGTGAACTTCTCTACTATAATAAAAAAAACAAGATGCCAGCACCGAAAATATAATAAATGCAGTTATGACACAGCTCACAGAAAAGATGCGGGAAGACCAGACCCCCAAAACTCCACAACAACAAGTGGAACAGACGACGCCCTGAGTCAGATATCAGACAAGAAGAACAACTTGCCATCCGAGAGATCACTCAAAACCGTAAAACTCAAGCCCCTTGCAACAGATCACGAGGAATAGAACAACAAGCACAGACCGTCAGCAAACACTCGATCACAGGCAAGAGTGATAGAACCTTGAAGAGAGCAGTAAAAACTCCCAAGATACCTTAAAAAACAAGCGGAATTCCACCTCATGCTCCTCCCTTAGAGCAGGTGCCCAAGAAACAGCCATCAATGAGCACACCATTCCTAACGGACGGGGAGGAGAGCGACTCAACCATGAACGCCGAGAGCAACTACAGCACCAGCGACGAGGAGATAATGATAGACTAGCCCCACCTCCTTGTCATTTCAAGATAACACAGTGGAATGTACAAGGCCTGTCCAACAAACGGCATACTTTACAAGCAGCAGCCATAGCTAAAAATATTGATGTCTTCATTCTGCAAGAAACCCTGATGTCCAAAGATAAACAATTCCGCTTGCCTGGATACCAACAGTACTCTGCAGCAGAAAGGCCCAACTCCCATGGCAGCATGATTCTCCTCAGGGCGACCATCCCCAGGTCAGAAGTAGAGCCAGTTCACTGTGGAGATGGAGTAGAGGCACAAGCTGTTCGGATACACCTGGCAAACGACAGTCTTGTAGTATACATTATCTATAAACCGCCTACCAAACGACTAGAAGCCGGTGAACTACTGACACAAGCAACGCAGGAACTTGTGCTTATTGCTGGGGACTTCAATGCGCACCATCCAACGATCAATCCGACCACAACAATGAACCAGGATGGTCATCACCTAGTGGAACTGCTGACTGATGTTTCAGAAAAAACGCTCATTAATACTGGGGAACCAACACACATACTGAGAGGAGCATTGGACTTCACATTCGTCTCTACTGAGCTCGTTCCAGTAGCTCAGTGGGAGGTAGATGGTGAACTGACCAGTGACCACTTTGCAACGACAACTACTTTGAGGATGGAGCTACTCCCTCCTCCCCCACGTCCGCCACCCAGATGAAATATCAAGAAAGCAAATTGGAAATTATATCAAGATGAACTCCAAAAATGGTATTCGAACTATGAACCAACTAAACCAGGACCTCACTGATGCCATACAACAAGCAGCAGAGAAAGCAATACCAAAAACAAACCTTACAAATAGACACCACAAAGACTACTGGTTCATCATTGACGAAGTCAGAGAACTGAATCACAGAATCAACACATTCAGAAGACATATCTGACAGTACCCTTCCCCTAAGAGAGTGAAACTGTTGAGAGCTGTCGTCCAATATGCTCGAGAAATTACTCAGAAAAATGGGGAAGACAAATGGCTCGAGTGGTGCGCAACCGTTAATGCACACACCAGCCTGAGTGAACTTTGAAGAAAACTCAGGATAGCAACAGAAAAACTGCCCAGAGCTCCAGCCCACAACCAGCCACTACAGGAAGCAAATCGCTTGGCAGAGCACTTTGCAGAACGCTCGTCATCAGATCAACTACCTCCTGAAGTAAGACTTCATCTACAGCAAGTACAACTGGAGCGAGAAGTAGTAGTTAGACATGCAATTGAACAAGCTGACACTACAGACTGTCTGTTTACTATAGAAGAAATCAGAAGGGCCAGGAAAACAAGCAAAGACACCACCCCTGGCAGTGATGGTATAACCTATTCATTGCTCAGCAAAGCAGGACTTGCTGGTGAACTTGTTCGCCTAACAGTTATCAACGCATCATGGTCAGCAGGCAAACTCCCGGCAGCTTGGAAAAGAGCAAACATTGTTCCTATTCCCAAATCCAATGATCCCCAGAATTTCAGACCAATATCACTAACAGCATGCATCGGCAAAACCGCCGAAAGGATGGCCGTTACACGACTCCTGTGGAAAACTGGACCACTTCAGATTCACCAAAGGTGTCAACACTGCATAGGCCATTGTAACCACTCTGGCCCGGAGAGGTGTCAAGGGATGCCTACTGGCTTGGATTGCTGACTATCTCCAAAACAGAACAGCAAGAGTTACCTGTCAAGGACAAGTCTCACATTACCAAAGACTGGAAAATGGCACACCACAAGGAGGAGTTCTTCGTCCAACTCTCTTTAACATCCTCGTGGAAAACTTGTGTCGGCTCCCCTTTCAAGAGAGTACCAAACTGCTATGCTATGCTGATGACTTAGCACTGATAGTAAAAGGCAGAAACCAGATAACTAAAGTCCAAAGAGCACTAGACCTCATCAGTGAAGAATGTATGATTCTCGGGCTCAAGATATCAATCCCAAAATCGAAAGCCATGAGGACTGGACACAATGAGCCGGTGACACAACTGCAAATACAAGGTATTGCCCTATAATGGGTCAATGTTTACAAATACTTGGGCATCTTAATTGACAAAGGCCTCAAATTTAACAATGAGATAAACTATCTAAGAGACCGAATGGGCAAGATAGCCAACATGATGAGAGCCATGACAGGACCCGAGGTGGGTGCGGGACATGTAGTCCTAAGAACGCTATATATAGTACACGTCATTCGATCATTAACAGACTATATGACACCGGCTCTTAACACACTGTCTGAGTGGCAGTGGAAGAAATTGGAGGTGCCCAGAATAACGCTATGAGAGTCATTGTCAAGGCACCTATGTGGACAAAAATTGAAAACTTACACATGGAGACAGGTCTCACATCTCTCCAAAACAGGACGGAACGATTAACAGCGTGCTTTGCAACAAATCTAATTACCAGGGCTCGGGAAAGTGACATCAAGAATTGACTCTTACGAGCACTGAACCTTAACAGAGATGTCTTTAACAAGAAAACATGGCTATTGTGCGCATCTGACGCTGTAAATCGACTGGAACTGAGAGACACAATCCTCAGCCAAGGACCTGATACAATGATTCCAGACTACAGCACCCAGCACCGTGAGAGTCCCCGCCAGCAGTCTTCAATATTCTACAAACTGGGACAAGAAAGGCTGACTGTAACCCACATGAGCTCCGACAGGTAGCAGAGAGAAACATGAAGGCTCTAACACCACACAATAGTACAGTGTATTACACAGACGGTTCCGTAGAGCCCACCAGTACGAAGGCAGGAGCAGCCTTCACCATAGAAGGAGGTAACACGTCCCTTTGAAGAGCCTCAGATGGATGCTCTACTCTGCAAGTTGAGCTAGCTGCCATACTTGAAGCCCTAAGACACGCTTCCATAAACAGTCAACAAGGCGTTGTAATACACACTGACTCACGATGTGCTATATAACCACTGCAATGCAGAGAGCGTAGAGACAACATTCATCTCATAACATCCGTTGTTGGCCTACTGCAAGGGTTAAAACTACAAGTTCGGCAAGTTATCATTAACTGGGTGCCCAGTCAGATCGGAATCCCAGGGAATGAACGAGCTGATGCTGCTGCCAAGGCTGCGTTAGGACAGCGAAACATTGAGATGAACATCCCGCCCAGTCAGGAGTAGATAAAGAAGACCACAATAACACAAACTGCCCAGTGGAAAATAGAGAAACAGAAGATTAACACCAGTATCACGATCGGCCAGGTGATACTATCTGGTCACGAATTATGAGAGATCACCACTCATGAAGGATATAACAAGAAGGGAAGAAGCCATCTTCCACCGTGCAAGACCTGCGACAGAGTAGCAGAAACTCACTGCAGCACTGCCTCATAGAGTGCCCTGGAACACAATTAGCTAGGAGAAACATACAACCCCCTATCACAGCAGAGAAGGTTGCCAAAATGCTAACCACGAACCACTATCAAGAAACCCTACAGTTTCTTACCGAGCATCCACCCCCACCCTAGTTGTGGAGATGTACAGTTAACTAAAAAGATGCTGGTGTTTTATCCCAGCAGTGGGTGGACCAGCATTTTAGCTTAAGTTCCGCGTAGGTAATATTCCTACAAATCATTAAAAACAAAAAAACAAAAATAAAATCCTTCCCAGAGATAGACAGGGAGATTCAGAATTCAGAGGAAGATGGGGTCATGCTCGTCACTAGTCCAGGTCGGGAGGGAGACTTCCCTCCCCAGCACAGAGTCCCCAGCTAGCATAGTCTACCACAGGAGACAGAGTCCAGCAACCGCTGGGACCAGTCTCTTCAGCAGCATCTGCAGACAGATTCCTTAGCCGCTGGGCTTCCCTCAGGTCACACGTGAGTCATTGTCAGAGCAATCCATAGGGTGAGTTACTTACGGTGAGAAGTGTATTCATTTCATGTTTGTGTCCGGGAGTCATTGTCTAGTAACTTCGATATAACGATTTATTAATGTGTCCATGCCATTGAGTTAACTAATAAATAGCTGTACTTAGAATTGGTATTTAGAAAATTTCCCCTAAGAATATAATACAGCTAAATAACTAATCGGCCACGCTACCAACTTTCCCCACTTTACAACTGTAAATTTTTACTATTACTAATAATTTTTACTTTACTTCTGAGTTTACCATCATTACATGGGCGAGAGGAAGTATTGTTAGGTCAGTGGCTGGGGGAAAGGTAGTACTATTAGGACAGTGACTGGAGGAGAGGAAGTGTTGTTAGGACAGTGTCCGGGAGAGAGAAAGGACTAATAGGGCAGTGGATGGGCGAGGGGAAGTACTGTTAGGACAGTGTCTGGAAGATAGGAAGTACTATTAGAAAAGTGGCTGGGCGAGAGGAAGTATTTTTAGGACAGTGGCTGGGGTAAACGTAGTATTATTAGGACAGTGGCTGGATGAGAGGAAGTACTGTTAGGACAGAGAGGAAGTACTATTAGGGCAGTGGTTGGGAGAGAGGAAGTACTGTTAGGACAGTGGCTGGTTGAGAGGAAGTACTATTAGGACAGTGTCTGGGAGAGAGGAAGTACTATTAGGGCAGTGGTTGGGAGAGAGGAATTACTATTAGGACAGTGGCTGGTGGAGAGGAAGTACTATTAGGACTGTGGCTGGAGGAGAAAAGTACTGTTGGGGCAGTGGCTGGGGGGGGGGGGCAGCTAGTCATCAAAGAACAGAGAGAGAAGTACAACAGCCAGGTGGAGGAGAAGAATGGCTCGACATTACACTATGTCAGTGACAGGAACTACACAATGTTGCACCAAATAGTTTATGCCGATCTTAACAGAGAGAAGGTAGTCAAGGACACATACGTGACGTAACATACCGTGAGCAACATTACGGAACTCGACCATGTTGTAGGTCTGCCTCCAACGGTGTTCACAGATCCAGCCGTTGCCACAGCTGTTGTCAGCGTTGAAGGTGGGTCCTACGATATTGTAGGAGTCGTCGTGGGGCGGGCCGACCCAGTCGTTCTCGTCATGACCATTAACCCAGTGTTGTTCCCAGTAGTAGGAGGACATTACACGAGTGAAGCCGTAGGGCCACGCCAACATGTATGCTGTGGCCATCTGCCGCACACACGGAAATCTCAGCTTACAATTTTATTCATCCATTCCAGCCCCTGCCTTCTAACTCTACTACCCTAAGCTTTACTAATTAATAGCTGTACTATTATTCCCCCAGACTCATTGTATGGTCAATGTGTCTCACTGTAGTGGCATTTTTATTTTTATTTTTTTTGTTCAGTTTCAACAGTAAGAGCAGCAATATATGCATACTGAATAATGGATATAACTATATTAATTAACTGTCATATTTTCGTTATTAATTATACTCCTAGCATTAAAAATTCGTAGTTTAAATTATATAGAAAGGAGTAAATGCGTTTGTTATTTTTTAAAGAATTCTCTTTCCATCATTATTGTGTATTCATGTCAGTCTTATCAAAAAGTATGAGCTCCTTAAACCATCACGATCTTGCTGACCTATAATACTTAGGGCCCGTGTCCACTTGAGAGCAAAGTGCTGTCGAAAGTGCTGTCGACAGCGTTACTATCAAGTGGACATGGCTCTGAGAGTAACTGTCAGATAGTTTGTGTTTACTGTCGGACAGCTACGTCAACTCTCAGTTATACGAACCAGGTTCGTAGTCCGACAGCGCTCTCGAGAGGTGTAGCATGGATTTGAATGCAATTTCATCAATATATTAATAGGTCTAATTCAAACGTCAAGCGTATTCCCTCTGAAATGTCATGTTCAAGGCCAACAGATGGATATGGTAGATATTATCTGTCGGGAAGACTCTCGACAGCTGAAACTCGCAGAAGTTTGCTCGCATGCGTGTTGAATAGATCCTAAGTTTTGCCCTTTACCTTGTACAACTTAGAGTCACGGAAGGTGAGGATCATGTCGCCACCGCCACCGCTGCCTCGCTGGTTGTCGTGGTTGTCGATGAAGACGAGTACGTTTCCTCGGTCAAGCATGCCCCAGTCCTCGCCGAAGTTGACCAGCCACTTGAGCTGGTTATGGCCGCGGAACGCCTCGCCCAGGAATTTGCCATATCTAAACTCAGTCACACGACCATTACCGACGTATTCCTGACTTGTGACGGCTTCTCCTCCTAAGGGATGGACACATTACTTTATTAACAGATAATAATGGCTAACTGTTGCGGTGCCAGGATGACACAATGCTATGAACACAAAATAAATATATAATTTTCCTTGTATATCACTGTTATAGATAATCCCACCCAAGATTCGAACGTGACAGACTGGGCTCCGCTTCAAAAGACCAGTCCAAGACGTTAGCAATTCTAATGCCAGCCAAGAAAACTTATACATATCTAATGGAGAACTCTATCTACCGAAGACATATTATTTCACTGTACACACCTAAGCACGTAACTTACCTTTGCTGTAATGTACTGATTCATTTACAAGCATCTTTGAAATTTAAGCTTTAAATTTTCTCCATAAAATATGAATGACGTGAAACAACATAATATTGCTCAGGAACATCGATCATTATTTCTAAAGAGAGAGACGGCAGGGCCGGATTCAGGAGTGGGCAAAGTGTACAGCTGCCCAGGGACCTCCACAATCTGGGGGCCTCCACATATTACAGTATTTTATTTATTTGTTTATTCATTTGGATTATTTTTATTTTCATTGTTAAAATTCGTGTTTATCTATTCCATCACGTAAAACTATGTTCAGCAAGAAGCGTGATAGAAATTAGGCTAGCTACTCCTTGAAATTCATGAATACCTGGTTTTCCTATGAACCGTATATTTTATTTAATGTTAATTTAATAATTAAAAAATAAATATTTTTTTTTCTCTCATGAATGCCAACAGTTCAATTCACACGCCATGCCCCCTGAACTCCCAGATGTTTAGGCTCGCTTCACTCGCCACCTCACACTCTTGTATGAGGCCTCCCAGCGGATTTAGACCTGTGAGGCCCATGGCAGCCTCTTAGGAGCCCCCCCTCATTATAACTACCCAAGAGGTGGGGTAACAAAAAATTGTTAGAAAATTTTAAGCCATATGCAGTTATATTAAAAATATTAAAATATACGGTTCATAGGAAAACCAGGAAGTTTTACGTGATTGAATAGATAAACATGATAAAAATGTGGGAGGTAGCTGCCCGCTGCCCACTCCTAAAGAAGAAGCTGCCCATGGGCCTCCACAGGACTAAATCCGGCACTGAAAGACGGTGTATATGGGGGGTGGAAACAGGCTGAAGGTGACCGGGAGAAGCAGTAATACGTCCCGAGACGATACTCAACTTTACAATTATGGTACCTGAAGGACACGAAACTTTTTCTTTTTTCTTTTTTACGGGAGTAGCCCACCAGTGCACAGGTCAATACCCACATCAGGGCCTGGGCGAAAATATAATAATAATAATAATAATAATAATAATAATAATAATAATAATAATAATAATAATAATAATAATAATAATAATAATAATAATAATAATAATATGTTAATAAATAAAAAAAATCAATATCGACAAACGATATATTTGATTTGCCGCTTAGCAGCTACTTTATTGTACCCACTCATCCTGTGAGCGGTAGCGCAAAGGATTACAGGTAGGGTTTAAGGGTCATAACAATTAACGGTTGTCAGGATATTATGGCACCGAAAGTTACACAACCATTTACATTATTTGTTTAGTTCTATACATAGGGTAACTTATTCACAAATGCACGTATATATATAGTATGAAGTGTTGCCAAAGTAAAAGAAACGATTGAAACCCTCAAATTGTGTGTAAATGATGTCCAGAGGGTTCTATCATGTGAAACATTTAATTTTTAGTTATATCATTTAAAAATCTCGGGATGTGACAGTACAGAA